GTTTATTCATAAAAACTCATCATAATCCACTCACATGGATCAGTGTCATAGCCGACAGTAGCAACAAACACAAGGGTTCATCCTTCTGCTCAATGAAGACATCGGGTGACGAAACACGTAGGTGGAGCTTCGGACTAATGTTACTACATTCTGTAAGAGGCTGACATGCCTGGCTTTTTGTGATTTTAATGAAATGTGTTTGTTGCTAGTGTCGGCTATGACACTGTTCCATATGAGTGGATTATGATGAGTTTTTACGAATAAACGTGTCGTACGGTATCACACGATCGTTTGCTTTGTTTTTTCTTTCTTTTCTGAGCTTGTGCATGAAGTTCTTGGAATTCGGTTTGGAACAGTTTATAGATCTGCAGAGTATTGCTCCCAAAGAGCAATAGTCCTCCCACTTAGATTGTAAGCTCAGAGGAGCATGGCCCTCCTAACCCTCTTGTATTGAACTGTAATGTTGCTGTATTGTCTCCCATTATATAGTAAACTGTTAATTATATTGTAAAATATTATACTGAGCAAACTGTTGGTGCTATATAAATCCTGTATAATAATAATATATGGTCAGAGGGATTTTATTTTGTAGGTGGGTGTGGTTTATATATATATAAAAATAACTTTCAGTTTGTAGCAGCAATGCAAAATTCCAAATAACTGGCTTGAAAACAAAGGAAAACCTAATCACTTATGTAAAATAAGGTAATATTTTGAAAAAACATTTTATTCTAAAGAAGTATTACCAGAAGGTGAATATTTTTGTTAAATCCCCCTGGGAATCCAGGACACATCACACTTGGTCCATCCAAATCTGTTTGGGGGTTTAGAAGTAAAACCACATTTTTGTTCTGTAAACTCAGTGCTGTAGCTTCACCCCAGGCTGAAGCACAATTTATGGGTGGTTCTTTGCTGGAGCTACAGCCAGCACTGAATCCATTCTGCAGCCTTCCATGTAGTCTTGCAGCACTGTGCCTCCTCTGCTCTCCTCCGCTGAATTCCATTTACTGAAAAGAGTTAGCTGACAATGACAAAAAACTGATGCCAGATAACCATTAGCTATTTTGGGAAGAGAGACTGCAGTAGTTGCTGGTGGCTTGTGTTGTGAATAGTGGTGTGCTGAAGAGAAGTATCTTCATTCAACAAAACAAGCTCAGATTATGAAAAAAAAAAACACAAGCTCAGAATAACGCAACCAGCTACTACACTTTTCAGAGCGAAACTAATGTAGTAGCTAGAGTGTGATGTTGTGTGCTTGTGTTCCCATGAATGATGGTGCTCTTCTCCAGCCATTGGCATTCACTGCAATTCAATAAAGCTTACACACACACTACTCTGTTTTTCTCTCTTCAAAAATAGAAGATGACGGTCGAGTGGGTATGGGCTGAGTCTTTACTTTCCTTACTAGTAGCATTGTCATAAAAAGGTTGGTGTGGTGGGGAATCTATTTGATCCAAACTGCTTAGCAACCACTACACAGATTTGAACAGGACTAAGTGTCCTCTGGAAAATTTAACAAGCATTTTCAAGTTCTCTGCACTGGGTCCCCTGGGTAATTTTAACACACATTTTCAAGTTCTGTGTATTTCTTCTTTAAGGAAAAAGCTGTGTAAATTATTAACTACAGGTACAACAGATTGAAGTATTTTTATGCTTTTGTTTTCATCATGTTTTTTTTAGAGTAGCACATTTTAATGAACTTATATGGTTTATTTTGGAAAGGGGACAATATTTGCTTAAATAATTTTGATCTGTCGTGTATAATTATGCCTCAGGATTCTGGCATGAAGTTACATATATTCTTTCATTTCAGTACATACCATGTTTTTTACATCGTTTGTAGCATCCGCTAACGTTCAAGCTGTTATGAGTAGCAGGAGATGCTGTGCAGCTAAGCCTTCATAGGCTGTCTAGTTCAGTGCTACACAGTTGGCTAGAATGTGCAGAAGCATTTCTCCTGCTGTGTGGTATTAATGGTTTTGCTAATGTTTAGAGATCAATGAGCCACCAGTAGACCGGTCCCAACTTTTGTTGTTCAAGCTGGTGATATTTTTTAAGCAATGAAAATAAATTATATTCTTTTGACATTCCTGTGATTGATGACATCCTCTTGATCATTGCATACACATTTTATTTGTAAAAATGTATTTAATTTTTGTCTTGTTTTACTATTATATTCAAGAACAATTAATTTTATATGCAGTGGGTATATGTTTGTATAGATGGGGGCTGCTTTATAAAGGTCTATTTTGCATTGGTTTTACTAATCAAGAGAATTATTAATTTTGCTTCTTTCCATTGATCAAGTTTTTCAACCTTTTGTATATACCTGTTGTTGCCATATTTTAGTCCTCATGCACACTTGACATTTTTACAGCTGCTGTTTTTGGCTTTTGACATTTTTTTTTCTACAGCTAGTAAACCTCCCAGCATGTTATCCTATGTGTCCATGCACACATAGATTGTAATCTTGTTTTTTGACTGGAAAAAAAACCCAGGACTAGGGGGTTTCTAAAGGAGTTTCTTAGCTGTAAAATGCATCAAAACGTGGTAAAACGCAGCAAAACCGACATTTTTGGACTTTTTTTAACCCAAAAAAAATGTTTTTGCTAAAAACAATGCTAAAAAATCTAAATGCAGCAAAATGCCACTAAACGCTAATGCGAAAACAGTAAAAAAAATGAAAAACTCACTTTTTAATGTGACTTTATACAGCTAACATTACCAGCGTTATCAAAATGTCCAATGTGCTTGAGGACTTAAGAAAATAATTTACAATATTAAAGAGGTATATATGATATATCAAAAAGTTTGGCAGTTCTGAGATGGTGGTGTACTGAATTACTTGTTGTGCAGGCAAATTTGAGAAACAATCACAATACGTTATGGTGTCCTTTTATGACACAGAGAATAGCTGCGATTCAACGGATCTCAGCTATTCTCTGGTCATTCACAGTTTATGACACTCAGGAGATCATGTCAGCCCTTCTCTGGAGATCTGTGTTCTCCCTCCAGATTCTCCAGCCCAGAGCTGGAGAATCAGAGGGACCGAAAACTAAGCAGAGATAATTTACCTCTGTTTAGTAAAGTGATCTTTTACTGTAATCTCGCGAGATTATAGTAAAATCAACCGTTTTCCAGAGTTTGTAGACCGTTCTCCAGCGTTTGGAGACCGTTCTCCCTTCGTTTGGAGAACTGCTTCATAAACTGCATTCACAGGAGAACTGTGTTCTCCAAGAATGCCGGAGAACTGAGCAGCGATCTATTACCGCTGGTTCACAAACGGACACCTATGTTCCCATTCACACAGCATACCTGAAATAATGTTAACAAATCTATTTAAATAGATTTCTAGTTGTTTCTTTAACAGACATTTTTTTTAAAGTGTATCTCCACTTTTTTTTAAGTTGAGATAACACTTATTTTGTTTTTGTTTCATATTCCAATTCACATAGCAAAACTTAAAAAAAAAAAAAATGCAGCTTAACTTTTTTATTTCCTTTTTTACATGCAGAAAAAAACTTATTTAGCTTTCACTTTCTATGTAATGTTAAGAGTATAACGAGTGGAGAGGGATTAGAATGCTTGTCAGTTTTTATTGCTGTAGTAATAAGTGTTGGTCTATACAGTGACTGATATATTAAAATATATGCAAACAGCATTAATAATGGAATCACCAAATGTAAACTGAAGACATGTCTCTAAGCAATCACAATATAAAAAAATAGTGAGAAATAAAAAACGAAAGTCCACAGTGAGTAAATCAAAATATGTCAGCATTCAATGTTCTTCCCTTCCTCCGCTAGCACCAATGCTTCCAGCCTCTGCAATGCAAATGAGATTCAGGCTTACCAGATAAAAAGACCCCCTTAGTAGTCATAAATGCTCTATATGCTCCACCTTGATGTTAACTCTCCATGTCAATCCCAATAATGTTCACCAGTATAACTCATCAGGTATATCGTTAAATTCACAGAAGATTGTATATTCATGCAACATAAGCAGACAGGGCACTCCTCATAGTGTAAAACTAGTTGAACACCTTTAATAGGTCATAAAAATGCACTTACAAATAAGACATATATGTAAATAAATAGTCCCCAATCCAGCAAGAATAACAAGCTCAGTCTGACACATTTTTATTGATACCTAAAGGGAAATCTTCCATGGGGGTCACTAGTGCTGGTGGCCTGGGGGTCCCCAAGGAATTCCCTTAATTTGCAGAGATTTTTTTTCTCATTTCCTGTTTGGCTTTGGGACAGGAAGTGAAGGAAAATCTCTGCAATGGGAAACATATGGCGGAAAAAAAAATCTGACCGGGGTTATAACCCTCCTTTGTTCTATCCAAAATGAAAAAAAACTTTTTTCCTATAATCTTACTTTAGGGAGTGAAACTGAGGAGTTATATTAACCATAGCACTGTCTGCGCTGTACAGATTTTTATTCATTATCATATGTAAACTACATGTGCACACTATTGGCACTAACAAAGGGTTAAAGGTCTCAATGCTTCGGTAGTTGCAGGCTATTCTAAACAATGTAAAAATTGCCCCAAAGAAACAACTAGAAAGGTAGGAAATATTTTAATTAATTTGTATGGTATGCTGTGTGAATGGAAACACATGACAATCACACAGATAATGAGGGTTTCTCAAATTTGTCTGCAAAGTTGAAAACAAACTTTAAACCTTTGTTGATACAGACAGTGTGCCCATCTAGTTTAAACTGATAATGAAAACCTGCCATCACAGTACAGAAAAGGCTGAGTATGGTAAACATACCTCCCCCGCCCCCTCATCAACATTGTATAGAAGGGGAAAGCAAAGAGATATTTTTCTAGAGGTAGACAGCAATTTCTTTTTTTAACCACCTCCCACCCGCCATATAGTAATATGACGGGTGCAAGGTGGCTCTCTCGTTCTGGGAGGACGTCATACGACGTCCTCCCCATTCTCACTGCGCATGCGCGGCTCAGGGAGCGTGCGGCGATCGGCGGTGCGCTGTGTCCCTCGGACACAGCGGATCACGGAAAGAGCCAAAGATGTTGGCTCAGTCATGTGATCAGCTGTGTCCAATCACAGCTGATCACATGTAAACAGGGAAATGCTGGTTATCAGCATTTCTCTCCTCACGAGCTGTCACGCTGACAGCTCGAGAAGAGAGGAGAGCCGGTAATTGGCTTTCCACGGAGGGGACATGTACACTGATCATCAGGGCACTGATGATCAGTGTGCCCTGATGATCAGTGTGACCCCAGAAGTGCCACCTGTCAGTGTCCATCAGTGCCAGCAGTCAGTGCTCATCAGTGCCTCATGCCAGTGCCCATCAGTGCCACATATCAGTGCCTATGAATGCTACATATCAGTGCCCATCTGAGCTGCCTTTCAGTGTCACCCATCAGTGCCAGTCAGTGCCACCTATCAATGCCAATCAGTGTTACCTATCAGTGCTGCCAATCAGTGCCACCTATCAGTGCCAGTCAGTGCCGCCTATCAGTGCCAGTCAGTGCTGCCAGTCAGTGCCGCCTAACAGTGCCAGTCAGTGCCGCCTAAAAGTGCCAGTCAGTGCCGCCTAATGGTGCTGGTCAGTGCCGCCTATCAGTGCCATATATCAGTGCCATATATCAGTGCCATGTATCAGTGCTGCCTTTCAGTGCCCATCAGTGATGCCTGTCAATGCCCATCAGTGCCACCTACCAGTGCCTCCTCATCAGTGCCCATCAGTGCAGCCTATCCGTGCCCATCACTGCAGTCTCATCAGCGCACATCAGTGAAGGAGAAAAAAATCACTTATTTACAAAATTTTATAACAAAAACTAAGTAAAAATTTTTTTTTTTCAAAATTTTCAGTGGTTTGGGTTTGTTTAAGAAAAAATAAAAAACCCAGAGGTGATTAAATACCACCAAAATAAAGCTCTATCTGTCACAAAAAAAATGATAAAAATTTCATATATGTACAGTGTTGCATGACCGCGCAATTATCATTCAAAGTGCAACAGCGCTGAAAGCTGGAAATTGGCCTGGGCAGGAAGGGGGTATAAGTGCCCAGTAGGCAAGTGGTTAAATATGCTATGTGAAAAAAATTTATGTTAAATTTACACCTAGTATAAAGTAGGTGTTATCCCAATTTGGTGAGATTTTTGTTGATTTATTAGCATTATAAATTTTAATTTTAAGGTTGCATATACGATTTTTACATTTTATTGTATATTTTGTTTTTATTGAAGAGTGACTGTGAAATAGAAGCACAGAGATATTGAATGCTGTACATAATCCTTCAGTTTTACTCATTAATCTTTCTACAGTGATGGATGTTTTATGGTTTGCTCGGTTTTAGAGGGGGAATGCAACAATTAAGAGATGATTAGGGAACATTCACAGTAGAATATTAATTTTGAACAGTGAGCCAGAGATATGCAGCAGGGGTACATGATCTATGTTTTTTTTTTTTAAATGGTCAATGATGACAAAAAATGGATAAGTTAGTTGTATGCAATTTAGGGTTTCACCGTTAACCATAGGTTAAAGTAATGTTACAGGTGGACCCTTGTGTTTTCCATCCTATGATTACCTTTTTATTCTACATGAAGGCTAGAAAACTTTCTAGAGATATTAATTTGAACTTGAGCTAAAAAAGTAAAGATTTTCAATGTGGAACATTATTCTACTTTTGGATGGCACAGGGAAGGATCAAAACCCCTGTCAGGTTTTACTTCTGTCTGGGACTCCATTAGAGAGATTTCCCCTCAATTCCTGTTCTGGTGACACAGTTTTACTAGAAGGGAAGCGTGGGAAACTTTCCAACAGAAACTCTGACAGAAGTAAAAATGCTTTTTTAAAGTTTTAAGTAGGACACCTGGCCCCTTAGCTATTGTTTCCCTGTTGCAGATTGTCCTACGCCACCTAACTGGTACAAAAGTTTTGACCAATATCATTTAGTAACTTGATTTTTTTCTTTTAATTTTGAATTCCTCCTGAAAAATAGATGTGTGTTTGTTACCACAGTAGTGAAATCACCAAATCTCACTCCAAATCTTGCAGCTGGTAGACCCATACTATTTTGAGTAAAATTTGGTCATGCTTTTTGCTGGAGATGCATGCACCTCCCTACTTCTGCTTCATTCATTCTGTGGATCTATGTACCTCCTTGCTAACTGCTGTTCCTTAACTTTTCCACCAATTATCAGGTCATTCGTCATCACTCTGACATTAGGAAGCAAACCTCATTCCTCTTCCAAGCTGATTGCTTCCACACAGAGACACAGTAAAAAGGTTACAACACTTACCATGCCTGCTTTTAAAGGGGGTTGAACTGGGATGAAGAAGGGCTAATAGCGGCACATGTAGCACGCCATACAAAATGGTTGGTGTGGTCAAATTGTGCTAACAGTGGGAGGAACTTAAAAGAACATAGTTAAAACATGAGCCAACTCTGCTCTGGGTCAACACTGTGTAATTCTTAGAGTCCAGAGGTTAGGACTGCATAACACACACAGTGCAGAAATAAGTAGTGCACAGAGTGTAATGGACAAAAGTAAGAAAAGCAAAGAGTGCCTCCCAATACAACCCCTTACCTACATCCTATGACAAACCTCCAGCACAAATGTGTACCTCCCTCCCTAAATTGTACTCTTCAGGTCTTGGCATCATGTTGCATTTGCTGGCGTGTTCCCCATGTCCTGATGCCATGACCGCCCACATTTTTTTTTTGTATATGTCATATTTGCTGCAATGGTTGGAATACATGGGCAACAAACAGGCAGGTTCCGAGGTCAGTAGTAAGTGATGCAGAGTTTAGAAGTCAGTTGCAAGTGATTTAGAGGTCAGGGATTCGAGGTCAATGGTAAGTAATGCAGAGGTCAGTTGTGTATAATACTGAGTTTGGTGGTCAGTAGTAGTAAGCAGTTCATAGGTTAGTGGTAAGTGATACGGAGGTCAGTATTATGAGAAGTAGAGGTCAGTTGTAAGAGACACAGAGAGATCACTACTAAGTGACAAAGCGGTCCATAGTAAGTGAAGCAGAGTTCAAAGGTTCATAGCAAGTGACACAGATGTCAGAGGTGAGTAGTGAGTAATGCATAGGGCAGAGGTTGGTATTTAGTAGTTCAGAGTACAGGAGTCAGCATTAAGTATTGCAGAGTTTAGAGGTCAGTAATATCTAACTCGGAGTACAGAGGTAAGTAGTAAGTGATGCAGAGGGGAAAGATTAGTAGTAAGTGACACACAGTTCAGGGGTGCGCAGTAAGTAAAGCAAAGTGCAGCACCCAGCAGTAATGCAGAATGTGAGCATGAGGAACGTTAGGTAGCAGCATGTCCTCCCCTCTGTGTCTCTGTTACTGACTACCTGCATAATAAAGTTAATACTCCTGTCTATTGTCTCAATCACCCATTGTAACTCACTAGTGCAAGCAACTGCCCATGTGCTCCACTGTGCTGCAGGAGCAAAGTAGCATTTCTTCCTTCTTCTCACCTCCCACTGGTAAAACTGCACAAGCTGGGAGAGCAGATGCGCCATCAGACCAGGACACAACAGGGATTCAGGAGCTAACATAGATAACACCCTTGTCCTTCAGGAGCAATCAGCCAATAAGAAAAAAATCAGCACTTAAGGATAATGTTTCCAGATAGATTATTGTAATTTACCTGGCAACATTTTTCCTATTGACCGATTTTTACCCTGCAGTCCAAGGGCCAGGGGTGCTGTTGGAGAAATGGTGATGAATTTGGGGACAGCCTCCTAAATTTGGGGATTGTCCCTGACAAGCAGGATTGTCTGGTCAATCTACTTTAACTCCTATAGTTTTTGTAAGAGCATCAGTAACATTACCATTGTTTATGAAGAGCGGCTGATATTTGTTGAGAATCAGCGGATGTCACATTTACTGTTAGTCTTTTCATGCATTCTTCAAATATTTGTCAGTACCAATATACGGTATATACTAAGTTTTGCAATGATTTTAGGGTGTAATTTAGGTTCACACCTTTGCAGGAAGCAACTGAAGAAATGTAAAAAAAAACTAAAGTTTAAAACAAGTAAATATAGCATACTTTAATATCTATTTACTAATGCTAGCAGGATAAGGATTAAAAATAGGTATTGTTGAGTGAGAGAGTGTTAGTTCCGCTTTAATGTGCCACACCTAAAAAGCACAGTTGCGAATGGAGCCCACGTTGTTTTTTTTTATACATTATATATTATGCTGCATTATTATTTTAAAATGTCTGATGTAAATTGTTTAGCTGTGCAACACTTAATTTCCCTTGATGAAAGGAGTTTTATTCTTGTTCCTTGATATCAGCACTAAACAGTAGGTATTGTTCTATAATAGATATTTTATAAATTTTCCACCTTCTGGTATAGTGTTACCATATTGTTCTGCACAGTTTTTAAATACCCAGGCCTGTTTAAATATTTGCACTAAATATTGAGCTGTATTGTTAGAAAATATGCAGTATTAAAATTAACAGGTATGCATATTTACAGTTATTGGCTATAACCACAGGCGGAAGAATTTGTAGTGATGTGCACTGAATAATGTCTTAGAGAGAAAGATGCATAATTTGTTAAAGATGAAAAGATGGACACCAGAGAGAGTCATGACATGTTCAGGGTTGTGAAAAATGTCATTTTGCATTGAGGCCAAAGAGTGCATGAAATATCTGCATAACACTGGCAGTTATAAATTATTGGAGTTGCACACTAATGAGGATGAATGTGTCATTCTGCAGTTACCAATTATGTAAACACTCTTGGCCCTGCCACATATTGATCTGCAGAAGATTAGTATTTTTTAGAAGGTATTTAAACGGCTCATTGTTTTGGTCATAACAAAGAAAAGCTTTTTCATTGTTACTGATATAGCAATAAATATGAAATGTTTAAAAAAGAAATTAAATTTCTTTCATAAATGTAATAAAAAAAAAGACCTTACCTTTTTTGTTTTCACTGAAAACTTGTGGAAAAAAATAGCTTAGTTCTTTTTTCCAAGTTGCAAAAACTTTAAAGCAGTATCAAACCCTAAACTAAAAATGTAATATTTTGCCAATTACAAATCAGTGGATGTGGTGGCTGCATTTTTTTTTGTTGGGGGGGGGGGGGAGGGCTTCTTTCCTTCTGTTTTCAGCTGGTGATCTGGCCAGTAGCACAACACCTCCTGTATTATAGAGAAGGTGCACAGGAGTACCTTTTGGACAGCAGCATTATCAGTCTTAGGGGAGGAGAGTGTTAAATGTACTAGAAACTTTAGATACACTAACAAATTGAAGCCAAACTCCAGCTCACAGTGCAGTTGCAGAAGCAAGTGTTTTTTTTTTCTTTTGGAAACTAATACAGCCATCACATCTAAGGACTGGCAAGCTGAAATATAATGAATGTTTGCTTTTGAGTTTACTACAGCTTTAAATCCTGATAATGTTTAAAGCTAGACCTGATCTTTCCAAAGTTCACAGGGGCCCCCTTCACATCTCTGCCTTGTGTGTGTTGGTGTGCTGTAGTACCATTCATTTTTAATTGCACCCCAAAGCATCTCCACAGTGCACCTATGTTTTCTGAGCA